ATTGGGATCAAAAGAAGGTGGCAAAGAGTAGATGGGTGCAGGCTATTTAGGACCTGTATAAAGGAACTGTTACATATATGCCAATTTCAAGGATGAAAGCATGCTTCAATAGAGCAATTGTCACTTAGTAGCATTACGAATGTCGCTCAAAATTAGCATTTTCATTTTGAACATGTTTGCGAATAGACATTGGCGTTCGAATTTTGAATATTTTTGAACATGCTCAATAGATCGCCATTTAAATATTTAAATTAGCATGCCATTTTAGAGCATGTTTAACGATACTTAACTGGATACTCCACTGGCTGCCGCGCAATGTGTCGCGGGTTCAATTCCCGCACGGAACATCTCTTTATGTGATCCACAAATTGTTGTTCCGGATCTGGATGTTATGTGTATGTGAACTTGTATGTTTGTAAACGCACTCACGAGTCTGGAGTTCGTGTGCCTGGCAGACCAACAGCTGGTGGACACCCACAACGTGCAGACAGTGCGAATCTTCACTGACGGCAGCAAGATTGAGGGGAAGGTCGGAGCCGCATTATCCTTATGGGATAATGAAGGTGAAGTCCAGAACCTCAAGCTTAGCCTCGCCGCGTACTGCACAGTCTACCAGGCGGAACTCTTGGCCATTTGCAGGGCAACGGAAGTTATCCTCAAGCGCAAGGAGGAGAGCTATGGTTTGTACAGCGACTCAATGTCAGCACTGCAGACGGTGACAAACCATGGCTCTCTCCATCCCTTGGCAGTCCGAGCACGTGCCAATTTGGCACAAGCCTCGAGTCAGAGCAAAGCTGTGTCCTTGTTCTGGATCAAGGCCCACGCGGGCCTTCCGGGAAACGAGCGCGCAGATGAACTGGCTAAGGGGGCAGCATTGGCGTTGCGGAGGAAACCAGACTACGACTGCTTCCCGATTTCATTCATCAGGCGCCAAATCCGTATGGAGTCGCTTGATGAATGGAATCGGAGATACGTGTCTGGCTGTACAGCCTCGGTAACGAGAATGTTTTTCCCTGATGCCATCACCGCTTTCCGTATTATAAGACAGGTGCAGCCAACAGGCGTACTAACGCAAATCTTCACCGGGCACGGTGGCTTCTCCGAGTACCTGAATCGTTTCCGGTGTAAGGGTAGCTCATCGTGCATATGTGACCCAGAAGCGGAAGAAACAATTCCCCATATAGTCCTCGAATGCCCAGTCCACGCAAGGGTAAGATTTAGTGTAGAGCAAGAATTGGGAATAAACTTAAACAGAGAAAACTTAGGGGATATAATGCAAAATAAGAAAAGTAGGTCAAGGTTCCTAGAATTTTGTAAAACAGTAGCAAAAATTGTCATAGCACGAAACAGAACGGAGATAGACACTATGTTTCATTAAATATTGAGCATATTTAGATGTAAACATAGAAAATAGGTAATAAACATAGAAATTAATGTTAACTATATAGATAGATAGTTAAGAAATGTGTATCAAGCAAGCATTAGAATAAGGATAGCTAAGTACAGTATGAAATAAATAAATAGATAAATAGAATAAGAACCATGAAATAAAATAAGTCCAAACCATAATGTAAGATAATATAAGTCAAAATACTGTATAATATGGAAATAAAGAAAATAAGCAACCTTCCTTATTACCCCAAACCAATAGAATAAATAAAAGAAAGAGAAAAGGGAAAGTAGGGAAGTGGGAGTCCCACCCGCTAAAAAAGTGAAAGAGGATGTATGAAAGAAGGAAATAGTATGAAGCATAAAAGTGCGAGAGGCATACACGCGAGAACTGGCATGAACGTGAAGTTACATTCGAATAGGCGCCAATAACGTTGGCGGAGATAGTGCAAAAAAAAAAAAAAAAAAAAAAAAAAAAAAAAAAAAAAAACGCACTCACGACACAAGAGGATATGCTAGTGTGGGGCAAAGTTTAAAAAAAATACTTTATACCCGATAATGATCTTGTTGATTTCAAAAAATATGCTCACAATTTTCACATAAAGTTCCTAAACACAGAAAACTTTTTCGAGCCATTTGTCAGTATTTATAAGGGCTCGAAAGTATTCTAAGTTTTACTATACGAGTGCAACAAGTGAGTAGGCGGTGTGATCCGATAACTTAGCACGATAAGTCTTGAGTAAACGTTTATCAGAGAACGTCTTAGTTTATATACTCGGTACTAAGTGGTCACTTAGGTATAAGAAAACACTTTACTAGAAGTCCAGTAAGTTAATGACTTAATATTAATTGTGTAGGTAGATACTTTGGAAGAACGGTGTTGAATAATAGTCATTATAGAATTGTATTGTAACTTTGATGAGACATACTAAATAAATTATTATGTTTTCGGCATTACTTGAAACTAGTCGAGTTTCTAGTTCTAGCATGGCCTGAAACTAGTCGAGTTTCTAGTTCTAGCATGGCTTGAAACTAGTCGAGTTCCTCGTCGAATTACTACGTGAGTAAGCCGAAAACATAATAATGCATTATAGAATTGTTTTTAAGTATATTTTATATGATTTTATAGATATCATTAGTTGGGAATTCTAAAAACTTTTAGTCACAGCAAGAGAGTCTACAAATATACAAAAATCGTGTATTCCAATAGACTCTAATCTCTATAACATGGAACTTATAACAAAAAACTAAAAGCAGATTGCATTATGTACCTAAGCGACCTCTACCTATTTCTACGAGCATAAAAGGTTAACATGCTATAAGCAATAAGCTATGAATTAAGAACCTAACTAAAGACAAAACGCGTAAGGAAATGTGTAAAAAGTACTGGAAACTAATTCATTCAAAAGAAAAACATACAATAAATCGAAACCAAAGTCCAAAGACCCCACACAGCTTCCATTCACAAAGCTAAGGAGCCATTAACATCAAATTTAAACTTATCAACCACATCCAAGCAACAGAATGAACCTGTTACCATGTATTAAGGACAATTGACCTACAATAATGTCTTTTAATACCGTCGTAATATCCACTAGGGCGTACTAACATCTGAATGAATCCAACCAGGTTATACAGACACCTTACATTTCTACCCAAGGTCCTTGTGGAGGTATTAACGTTGGTTAAAGCACGTAGAGGTCAATTTACGCTGGTTGTTGACCATTTGATAGGTTCTGCTCGTGTTCAAGGAATGAGTGGTCGTAAAAAATAATGAGTGGAAGCCCGACGTGTTTGGTGATGGGCAGTAAAGTTGAAGTAACTGGATTTAAAGTATTCATGTTATGATGTTTTTTTTTTAATTTTGCTTTCTGGTAGCGATTTTGTTTTTTTGTTTGTGTGTTTATATGTAAAGGCCGCGAATTGTGTAGTTTCTATGGTATCAAAATTAAAAATCTAATTAGTCCATCAGTTGATAATGAAAAAATATTGACACGTATTTTTTTTATTTTCTCGTATTAAGTTGCAATACTTAAATAAAATGGCGCTAAGTTTAGGAGTGGGAGGTCGTTACGTCATAATGTGCTACAAAATTGGACACGCTGTGATGTCCCACGACAATTCAAATTAATATATCGTCGAAAGTATTTAATTTTGTGAGATAAGAAAAAATACGTGTCTAAAGTATTAAATTAATGTGCCAGATGGACATTAAAATAAAATTTTGGAAACTACCCCCTATTACATACAGCCAATATATGAAGATCGCTGATGTTGCATCTGCACCAATACTTATTATTTTTATTAATTGCTGATGCACCTTTGATGTCAAACGATTGTCGTCGTCGTACGTACATACGTCGCAAGTTGTTGTTTGTTCAATAAATTGTAAGAATGATCATTCTATTATCCTACTTCGAATTAGAATCATCATTCATAGGGTTAGTAATTAAATTAATTTAAAATCATTTTGGTTTTTTTTCGATCCTCCGATCGCAGTAAACGTAATTCGCGTATCTGCAATATATTTACAGGAGAAGGTTCAAACTTAATAACTATATTAATTCAATGAATTTGGACTGCCTTGTTGGCATGGCAGGCCAAAGGATCTCGGCTTCGATTCCTGGGTCGGGCGAAGTATATTTTTTTAAATTCAGTATTAGCACGGAGTCTGGAATTGTGCTTGGTATATGGAAATAGGCTCACCTTCTAGCACATGAGACTTATAATATAAATTGTGAAAAGTGGGTGTTATATTGAACAGTGGCATTTAAGTGCCGTAGTGTACCTCTGCCTACCCCTTCGGGGATAAAAGGCGTGATGTTATATTGTTGTTGTCGTCGAATTTGGAAGCTTCATCATCATCATCATCAACAGCCTATAAATGCCCACTGCTGAGCAAAGCCTCTTCTCACACGGAGAAGGTTAAATTTGGAAGCTTACTTTTACATTTAATAATTAGTCGAATGGACTCGTGTTAAGGCGATGGCAGATAATTAAAACCATTTAGCGAGAATTTTTCGAAAACTTGAATTAGCTACATTTGTCAGATACGCGAAATTATCGAATGCCAGTTGGATATGCCGCGTATTTGCACTATCCCGACTATTTGTTGCAGCTATATTTTATTCTATCGGAAATTCGTATTTTGTAATAGGGTTTGACAGCCAGGTTAATACCCCATATATGTAGTGCATTGTTGACTAGTAACTATACATAATATTCTTCTGCCTAACTAAGCCTCGTTTCACTGAATTAAGTCGTGACGCTAAGTTTAATTTAAGCCTTTCCAGCTATTGATTGTCATCTGTCACAGAAATGAGAATTAACAGGTGTTACTGTTGTAGGTAAATGATTGCCATTAAACAATGTTATATTTTACAAAATTTTATAATAAAACCACCCCAACGTTAGGTACAACAATATTTCTATATTGTTGTAATACGAACATTATTACAGATTCAATTATGACGAGGGATTTATTTTGAAAATTTGCTTTAAATCGTTTCGTAATTTTAGTAGCTACATAATTAAAAGTATTAAATTACCTCCCGTTACCGCGCATCTGTATGGCATCATTCAATTTGAAAAGCTTGAACGTTGGTCTTTTACTACAGTTTCTGGAAGAAGTTAAATATAATGTTCACATTACTACACAGCGATGGCATCTACAGATATATTCCAAATATTCTCTTTATTCCCGAGACGTAAGTGAAAACGTGACGCGAGGGAAGCACAACGTGTGTGCACGAAGGCACATAAAATCTTATGAGATGGAAGCCAACCTGACTTCTTCCTTAACCCGGTACCAAAAACGCAGAGCCTACAAAATATACGCGAACTTTAAACGAAATCGAGGCTGGAGCTCCGCTGCTATTTCCAACCCATTTCCATAAAAAGGAAACGTACAAAGACTTTTATGATTACGAACAACTTTTGAGTTATTATGCGTCAAGAGAATTGACAGCAAAATGGAACAACTGCAGCGAGGCACTTCTTTATATTTAAATTGTTGCTTTGTGGTTGCACACTGGAAAAGTTGTGAAACAGTTTTTGAATAAAATGACTCACCTCATCGTAAATAAAGTTGTCGATTTCTTCGAGCGGTCTTCCGTAGAGCTTGGGAGGGAAGGGCTCGTACTTGCGCGGCAGGCGCGCGCCGTCCTCCACGCTGAGGCGGCGGCGCGGCATGAACCCGAACTCGCGCACCAACTGCGCCCCGCGCGAGCCAGCACGTCGCGCCGACTCGCGCGTGAATGGCGTGACTGCGGCGCGGGGCCCATCGCGGTCTCCGCCGCCCGCGACGGTTTCGCTCGCGAACGTGACGCCCTCCAGCGGGATCCGCAGCTCCTCCCGGCGCGGCTTCTCACTCTCCACGTGCAGCGCATCTCTTGACTGCGAGGCCACGAGCGGCGCGGCCGCCTCTGGATTAGTGGCCTCTAGCGTGCGCACGATCTCGCCCAGCAGCCGCGAGCCGTCGATCTCCTCGCCCGGCGAGTTGAGCGGCGCCGGCGGCGGGAACGAGAGCCTCCTCTCGTCCTCCTCCATGCCGCGCGAGGCTACGCGCGCGCCCGCCACATCGCCCCGCACCCACTCGCACTCACAAACACTATTTGCGCACCGATGACGTCATTCTCTAATGTTACTGCCACCTGAAACAAAAACAAACAGTTTAGTTAGTGTATCAGTATGAGCCACTCACTAGTTATTACTTGCACGTGGCGTACAAACGCCGGCCGCTTAATAAATCACTTTATTTGCGAGGAGTATTTTACATAAACATTTTCTAGACAGCTAATAAATGGAATATTTCCGTTTAATAAAGACATTTAAAATGCGTGTGGGTGAGAAACATTTTAGTGCGTGCTATTAACACAAGCAACAGTTGATTCTGTTGTGTAATCGCTAAGTAAATGTTTAGTATTTATTTTAGAAAGTCCGCAATGAGTGAGCAGCTGGGCTTCAACATCTACAATAACCTACTGACACACAGTTCGCACAAAGTTCACTGAGCATTGCGCTGATACTTCCTTAGTCAAACAAAAGTGCAAAATGTTGACCGGAGCCGGGAACTACACCGCGTGCCGGCTGAATTGAAGTTATGAAAGTGTTTTTAAGAGTTCCTTTATCTTCTCCCCGCGGCTTAAGCCAGATGAATATTGTACGAGCTCCTGGCTGTTTTGCTATGAAATCTTGTATGTAGGTACTCGTCTCAATTCCATTAGTGCCACCTTCTCACCTGAGTACCTCTTATTATATTTTTCACACACTAATTGTTGAAGGAGTTGCTAACGTAGGTTACATACAAATGTTTATAGATAGCTTCTGCAGCGTAATTCCTATAATACTATATAATATAGGTATTCATTCGCTACAACAAGACGAAATATTACTATAATATATAATGTTAAAAGCACAGTTAAAACTGGTTTAACTATCTCGTTTCTGTCGTTATAATATTTCACAACTTCAACAGCCAATCCTATTACACGTTTCAATTGTAAAATACCGTATCATATTCTAAAACGAACCCAAGCTTACATGAAAACAGCTCACAACGTGTATAAAACTACCTCCTTAGAGCTCCCACAGTGGGGTATCTAGCACAAATCATACGTTGGTACTATGACGTGGCATATCTACACAAAGGTAGCCATTCAGATGGCTCGGTGAATCATTGTCCTATTGTCATACATTCACCGCGCCAAGTATTTTCAGTGGGGAAAAAGTTCGTCTCTTTTTTCTAAGCATTCCTTTATGAAAATAATGTTTTTAATTTACTAAGATTTCATGCTTCTAAAGTGAATGGACGAGATTTGTGATTAATTGCTGTTAATCTCCTAAATGTAGATTGTTAAACATTTGTGGAGATGTAGATTACGTTGATTTTTTGTTATTGTCTTCTCGTTTATATCATTTTAGATACTCTACTAAGATTTTTTTAATCTACAAGACTTTTAAGGAGTCGAAATTAAAAGAACATTTAATAGTATAGCCACAGATACTGATTCCGACACAAAAACAAACAGATTGTAATGTTTAAAACTTGTATTACTACGCTAGCTTTATCCTCGGCTCTGCCTGGGTGAATTAGTTTATGTCCGTCTCTTATTAAATTTATGAAAAAAATATTTGTCTATTTTTTTTCTCTCCCAAACATAATATCTATGCAAAATAAACGCGTGTAAACAAACAAATTACTTTCGAATTTATTATAAGTTGGGATGTTGATGGTATACCTACTATACTACCTCTATAAAACTCTAATCAAGAAAACTCCATAATAAAACCATTGGAAACATGGTACCAGGCAAGATGCCAGAAGTCTTCAATCACATTAAAACTGATGTATCAGCTAACGTTATGTTTTTATAACAACAGTAATAAGAATATTAGTTCCGTCGTAAATTGCAATAAAATTAATAATAAGATAAATAAATATATGAAGATATAATCTTAATGATGGACAGATATTGGATACTGTTTAATAATATTTTAGCTCCAATAGTTTTTGAATGATATGAAATTAATACCTACAGACATGTGTCCGGACTCATTCATACGACCTCAAGGCCAAACTCGCAAACTGATATTTCTAACAACACAAGAATCTATTAAAGAGTATGGTGTACTATTGCAGCAGTCTTTTCTTGGCAATACACTGCACACCCAATCAAGATCTCAACAGCCAACAGCCAAACTCACTGAACCAAGCATAATTATCATAATGACATAAGAAAAGCAAGGAGAAAGACATGGAAACATTCATCAACTATCCCCAATTTCACCACCGCAACTAATTTCAATTAACACAACCAAACATATGAGAAAAACCCACGGCCAAATCGGTAGCAATTTTTCTTTTCAACGAAATCCTTCCCCGAGAGGTCGGTGAAACGTATCGAGGTGTCTAAATACAATCCATTCCGGGCTTCCATTGGACATATGACCATGAATCACCTAATTAACGTTGCCTTTTTTATGTCCGTAAATCTCCGTAAATACGTGAAATTTACGTGATCATTGACGTCAGGTAAAAGGCCTATTGGCCTGCTCCAATAAAAAGTAATGAGGCCTTTATATTCTAGGCCTTTTGGCTTTATGTGTGAAAGGCTTCTGTAGTGGCTTCTGGTTGGATGGTGCTTATTTATGATGGGAGTTTAATGACGGATATAATGATTTGAGTGAAAATTGAAGATTTCATTTGTACGTTAACAATATGTTGAATTAAATGAGTGTTTAATGTAAATAACAATATGTCCTTAAGTATCACAACAAAAGGAAAAAATGGCTAAATTACAGGTTGCCGAGCCAAGATTTATATGTTAAAATGTATATTCATAGCCCTCAAAATTTTACTAGTCATGCTGTGACACACCTATTAGACAAACATGACTTACAGTAAAGAACACACAACAGCCTATGCCAGAGGTTTTGCGTTCCCAGGATAAATAGTATTTTATGTGCTATTCCATATTATAATCTACCTCTATACTAAAATTCACTCATGTCCATTCAGTAGTTTTGGCGTTACAGAATAATAAACATGCTGACAAATTTCCTTAAAATTGGATTCGAGTAAAAGCGACAAGCTTCATAAACTACAATACTAAAATAAACAGAAACAATAGAAATATTACTGCGGCCACTTGGTCCAATAATAAAAAGCTAATAAACCTAATAACAATGGAATAACCCGATAAACTGTATACGAAGCAGAAATAATCGCTTTTCTATATAGGAACTATTGAAAGTATCTCTACTGCAGTGATGGTGAACCTTTGGCACGCGTACCATACATATATGGCTTCGTATATTAGTACGTAATCTTTATTAAAACGTAAAACTATGATAACACACCGGTAACGTATTTGTTGTCTTTACTTAAAACATTAAAGTCATATTAAAAATAAACTACGTTTAAAAAACCGACGGCCTGCTTCTTTTTTGTTTTGAAGTCGGTTAATATAGTAAAACATGTTACTAAATGTAAGCAATAACTTTCTGAAAACTATATCTAAATCGGTTTAACTAATCGTGAGGTAATCGCGGACAAACATACAGGTCAAACAGAGTAATTCATTTTTTGAAGTCTATTAATATAAAAATTATTTAATGGTACATCAACGACTTTAATACAAATTTCTTCAAAAGTAATTGGAACGTCAATGTATAAAGGTTCGCCATCCCTGCTCTATTGTATCGGGTAATCAATTTGCCATATAATGCCCAGGCAATGTTTACGGAGCTCCGGAAGGGATTGCGATAAGCTTGCCCAACTTGCCCACTTTGCCCACTTTGCCCACAGCCCCTGTTCCTCACAATCGTGGTCTGCTTAACCCTAATTGGATTAGTAAGCATATGTTTGATGGGTAATTTGTATTAATTAGAAGGTAACTCAACTTGCATGGGTTAAGAAAATGTAATCTTTACTATGATTAGGATGGGTTCGTGACTTGCGTTATTCGGTTTTTGTGTTATATTTTCTGTGTTGTATGAAATAGTGGTCATCTGAGAAAATGGGTCTCCTGGTGATATTTATAATTGTTTTGAAATTTTTATACATCAATGCTATAATAAATGAGTTGATTTTATAACATCTGCTATAAATAAAACAGAGGGAAAAAAATCTCACTAAAATGAATAAGTTTCACAGAAATCATTACAAGTAAACTATACTCACAAGATTTATTCAACAAGGGTAAGCAGTGAACAAGTATATACCTAATTATGTTACTGTCGTTATTAAACTGTCAAACACCAAGCGGTCACCGGTGACCTCAACCTATTGTTCTATAATTGTGTCTACAAAACCGGTACTCGACGAGTTAAGTTATTTCAAGCCTAGAATCTAGAACTAAACATTATAAATGTGGGCGTTATAGTGGGTGACAGCTCTGTCTGTCTGTGCGTCCGATCAATTTACCGATAACGAACCTTTTCGATTCATACGTGACTGTATTTCGAGTTTGTCAATATGGCGGCGTAGCATTTTATTTTTATTTTTAGAGCGTACAACAAAAGTGAATAGTTTGAATAGAAAAACTATTTTTTAAAGTCAATTTGTTATGTTTTGTTTATTTTGTTTCATCTTAGGCTTTAAAAAGTCGTTTAGTTTAAAAAAAATATTATTTTATAGTACTGCCCTCTTTTCAAGATCAAAAATACCTAAATACCGACATATTGTTGCACAGAGCAGAATAAAAATTTACTCAAGTTTGGTTGTTATTCATTGTGTAAATTAATCCATTTATAGATCACCAGAAACTCAATTTTTTTTTTCAATTCATTGAATCAGTAAGAAGAATATTTGCATTTTTTCCACAATTCATAAATCCCTTTCATCACTTCAGACCTTCGTTTCTATCTCAAAGTTAATCAGTGCCTTGTAAACGGGAGCACAACAGATTAATCAAGATGAATAAAGTTCAAACAACAATCTCCGACACTGGAATCAAAACGCCTCCTGGGAAATCGACCGCCATTTTATCGTTTCATTGGCGCAAAAATGATCGACGCTCCAAATATTTTTCGGAAGATTTTTTTCTTGTGGAGTTATTTTGGTGGTGATTTTAAGGACAAAGAATAAGAAGGATTTTATTTTTCTGGTTTTTGGGATGTAGAGATGATACTACGACATTGAAGGGCCAGG